AATGGATCCACAATGGAGAGAGAACTGACCCGCCAGCTTAACAACTCTCAGAAAACAATAAAATCATTCTCCAGTGGATTCCAGCTCACCAGGAAATGTGTTAACAGACAGACTTGCAAATAAATGGAACAAAGGAGAAACCACACACCCATTCATTGCCATTACCAGAAATCAAATAAGTTATTAAGGAAAAATACAGAGAACTGTGGAGAGAACAAACAAACAGTAAATATCCACAAGATTCCAACATCAGACTTGACAGAAAACAACATACAATAATTTTCCGTCTACGAACAGGACACTGCAGGCTCAACTACCACATGCATAAAATAAAGACTGTACAGTATCTACAGGATGCCTGTCATACAGGACCACAAACACCTGAGCACATTCTGCAGACCTGCCCACTCTACCTACAACTTCAAAAAGAAACCTGGCCTCAAGAGCAAAGTGTGCAGAGCAAGCTATGGGGAACCATGAAGGACCTGCTACTGACATTCAAGTTCATAGAGACAACCCACCTGATGGTCTGACCTGAGCATATGAAACCAAACATGAAGAAGAAGAAGAAGAAAAAAATATAAGAAAAAAAGAAGAAGAAGAAGAAGACACCTGCAAATCAGCCAAAAGGACTGGGTTCAAATCTGTGAGGCAGGATTTTAAAAATAAATGCACAGGCTTCCAGGTTGACACATCCTTAAATGGATACTAGCATATCACCTGAGTGGTTGAAAGTGACCAGTGTGACATCGACTCATGAGCCATAAATGCTAATTATAAACAATATGAGTCTATTCTAAGTCAAGCAAACGCTTGCCGCGCCACAATGGATTTTTACTTTTTTTTTTTTAAATTACCCACTTAACTAATTAAATTGCTTTTTTAAATATAAAGGCTATAATTTAAAACAAAAACATACTAATGTTTGTAAGTTGGTTTTAAATCCAAGTAATTGTGTTTTGATCTATAATTTAATTACTGTACAAAAAGCTGAAGCAAAGCACAAGCACAAGCAGCAGATGTAAATAAAAACACTGAAGTAAATGTGTTCTATTTTTACTTTTCTTCTGCAGTCGCCATTGAAAAAGGCAGCTATTTTTGGTTCCCTCAAATTGGGGTCTGGGATCCCACAAGAGAAATTCTATCTTCTTAGATCAAGTATCTTTTTTTGCAACTTTTATATTTAAATACTGTATATTTTTTTTTATTATTGGTCTGTAAAAAAAATATGGGTGCTCTTCCCATATGCCCAATGTGCCTAAAAGGCATGAAAAGGGATCTTTACTTGGCTTACTTCTGTTATTAAATTTCACCTATGGGTGAGATCCCTATACCTCCTCCTGCTAGAATGGAGACCGTGAACACATGGTAAGGGGGTAAGCCATGGTTGAACAAACGTCTGTGTTCTGGCAGGCTCACAGAGTGGTCACCCTTGCCAAACATAAAATTACTTGTCTTCTAGACTGCTGAAATATAATTTTACTACTCTGATAGGATATCTGAAGCAAAGCACATTTAGAGACAGGAGAAAAAAAGCTCAGTGGAAAAGCAGTGAATGATACAAAGCAAGGATGTTCTTTCAGTTTTATATATATATATATATATATATATATATATATATATATATATATATATATATATATATATATATATATATATATATATATATATATATATATATATATATATATATATATATATATATATATATATATATATATATATATATATATATATAAACTAAATCTACATTATATATAATAATGATCATAATGTACTCAGATAATAATTATATATTAATGCTCAAACAGTAATAAATAATTAGTGCTCATAGCTCTCATATTAAATAATAATAATAAAGCAGTTATTTTTATATTAATATCAAGACAATCATAAAATGTTAACAGCGAAAAAATTATAAAATGTTAATTTCAGGCCATAAAGAGATATTGATTATCAGACATTGATTAATTTTAGATGTCCTGATAGCAAATGATTATACATGTGCAGACAGGAACAAAACATTAATGCATATGCAATAATCAGACTATTAATGCTCCAACAATAATGTGTTATCAATGTTCTGGCAGCAATGAGATTATATGTTATACTCAAGACGGTAATCAGAGATTTTGACTCAAGTGACTCAATGAGTATGCCCAGAGATGGGCAGAGTCTGAAGATAGTGGCTGGTGTTTCTTAGGCTGTTGGGGCTGACGAATATCACTTTGTTTCACTTCTGTGCTAGGGCATCCAGGTGTGCCAGGAAATGAGCAACCTGATAGGCTGTCAGTAAAGGTTATTCCGAACCAGGCAGAATGCTCTACGAGAAGTAAGACTTTTGCCATGTAGACCAAGTGACTGTGACTCTGCAACCATGACCTGACTGCAAGAACAGCTAGATAAAAGGGGTGTGGCCAGGTAAGAGCACTAGGCAGGAAGCCAATGACAAATAGGAAATCAACTCAGAACTGGTGTCGTCAGCCACTAAACATTGCAGGACTTACTGAGAAGGGGGTCCAAGCACTTATGGACTGAACAGTGATGAGCAATGAATATAATTGGTAAATTAATAATCAGACATTAATCTTAATAAATGAAAATAATATAATCAGATAATAATGAGATATTAATGCCCAGAAATTGATTAAATATGAATGCTCAGACACCAGTAAAATACATAATGCTGAAACTAATCAGACATGAATGATTAAAAAGAAATTGAAACTAAATTAAAAAGCACAGTAATGAGATATAAATGCCCAGTGATTAAATAAGAATACCCAGAACAGTCAATATACTCAGACAGTAATGAGATATAAATGCCCAGTGATTAAATAAGAATACCCAGAACAGTCAATATACTCAGACAGTAATGAGATATAAATGCCCAGTGATTAAATAAGAATACCCAGAACAGTCAATATACTCAGACAGTAATGAGATATAAATGCCCAGTGATTAAATAAGAATACCCAGAACAGTCAATATACTCAGACAGTAATGAGATATAAATGCCCAGTGATTAAATAAGAATACCCAGAACAGTCAATATACTCAGACAGTAATGAGATATAAATGCCCAGTGATTAAATAAGAATACCCAGAACAGTCAATATACTCAGACAGTAATGAGATATTAATGCACAGCCACCACAAAGTAAATCAAAGCACAGACAGTACTCCATGCTTACTGTCACATCTGATTTCATTCATCTTGATATCAGCTGTAATGAACACAGGTCAATTATTTCTTTAGATTGGCACAGAGCAGACGGGAAAAATTCTGCAGTGGCTAAACTACAGACAGTTCATGGAGACAGTTTTTAAACAAACTACATCCTTTCTGGAGCCGGTGTCTGCGGTGAAGGCGTTGCAAAAGTGCTTCATAATTTTGAGGTGTGTGGTTCATGACCAGATGCATGCAATTTGGTGGCAGATTGCCTTGCGTTAGCTTCAATATTGGTACTGAGAGCCGACTGTTCAAAAAGAATTGGCAAACTACTAAATGTAACATTGCCTAGTGGAAGTCACAAACAGCCAAGAAAATGCAGGCACTGATTCTGAAATATCCTGTAAATTATACGCAACTAACTTAAATCATGTCTCCGCTTTGAGTTTGAGTCTTTTGACAATGAAACATTTAAAGTGTGTGGAGGAAGCATTACCAGCCGTGGCCTTATTTCACCCAGTCTGTATGTGCTGTGCTGTGCTGTTTTATGACCCAATTACTTGCTGACATGACTCGCTGTGCCTTAAATGATTTCTCAGCTAGAAAGGAAAACTGAAAACAGTCACTGTAGGGGACAGTACTCTGGTATCAGGTCAGGAGGGAAGTCTCTATACCAAACTCACTCTGTCAGATTCAAATACTTTTCAGGGTTCCTATGACCTAAATGTTTATCCACTGGGCTCAACACTTTGTGTAACAAGCAACAGGAACATTTGTACCGGACAAAGGAGACAATTCTGAAGACCATTTATGAATGAATGCAGACAGAAGACACCTGGTTAGATGAAATAACATGTAAGAATGTGTGAATAAGGAGTTAAGTGTGGATCCGGCAAGGAGGAACTTGTGAGAAGAAGAGAAGGACGTGTGTATAATCAGTGTGCTGCAGGAACAGTACACCTTAAGACATCTGCTGCGGGAGACGGAGCACCTATGTGTGTGCCCTGTGTTTTATGATGACAATTATTAAATCCGTTAATCAGTAACAAGCAACTCAATTATTGCTAAAACAAAAGTCAGAATCAAAGACCACTAGCTTTACTGTTTTCCCCTATCATTGACTGTTATAACATGAAACCGAAACAATGTTACACTGCTTAAAATGTGAACAAAGACACAAACAAAGGACAGCATAACTTCCTGTCTGGCATATTGTGTGGCATCTCAACAGATCACTAGCACAGCAACAGAAATTTAGTCAATGATCCTCCTCAGGCCTCTGGCACATTGGGCATGTAGAACTATATTTTTACAGAACAATCGGCATTCAACAGGTTATGTGGTCAACGTCAAGTTGACAGCCTTAGTTCCCAGGACATTACCTGGTACCCATTTTTGGCTGCATCAACCTGTGAGCCACAGTCACTTTTATAAAAAAAAATTTAAAAAGTTTTTTAAATGGCCTTGATGCAAATTTGAACTCTAGACCTTCGGGCCGACAGGTGAGAATAGCCAGTACGCTCTGCGGCTCCAAGAAAAATGAAGCCATTTAAATTAACTAAATTTTGAATTCTTATAATTTAAAAAAAAACCCACATGCTATTACCATTAAAAATCGTCATTAACATGGTAGCCAAGGAAAAAGCTTTCACACTGTTGCATCAGAAATCTGCAAGCACAGAAATCTGCAAGCAGACTAAATTTGAGACTTGAGGTAGCTACAGTTAGAAATGTGTTACTCAGAAAACAGTTGAAAGGGCATCGTTAGCGTGCAGATGCAAACAATAAAACTCAACAGCGAGACAGTTAAAAAGAAAAACCTACTCAGTCAAAAACTGGTAATGCTCAGCTGAAATATAAATACACAGAAATAAATCAAAAATATATTTTGTTGATTCATACATGTGAATATTAGTGTCATGTTGACTGTGTACAATGACTCATCTAGAGACAAGCAGCACATCAAAAGATGACCACTGTCAAATGTTCAGTTCAATATAAGCGAGGCAAAGAAATAAGAGACATGACTAGACATAATCTTGTATCAACAGTTACAAAACAGAGAAGATGGTGATATATTAGGAGGAGAAGTGGATATAGAATCACCTAACATGACTTAGTTGAGAAAAGAATGGACTGAGGAGGTAAGGATGCCCAAAAGAAACCCCAATACGAATGCAGATGAGAGGCCAAAGGTGCTGGACTGGATTTCATCTATGATATGGAAACAAACGCTAGCACAGAATGCAGTGGAAGAATAAACTTCATTGTTCATTCTAAGGTCATCTTTTTCGCATACTGGACATGACCATAAGTGCTCCGATCTACTTCTGAGTATGTCTTGAAGTGCTAAAAAGGCTGACCAATCACATTATGTTCTGGCTGATGTAAGGATGGGTGGCTCCCGTATGGTTTTGTAGCTCCAACTAGTAAACCCCCAGTATGCAGTCTATTCAGTAAAAAATCCTTCTCCATGAAACTGAAAGCCTCACAGCGTTTAGTCTTTAGTATGGCATTGACAAAGTCTCGCCTGTCCATAGATGGCCCATTCCTGATAGTCACACTGCCAGCCAGTGTGCCTGCTCTCTCATTGCCTTTCACACCTGCATACCCTGGGATACAAATGAAGGTGATTTTGGGAAACACTGCGTTCTGTATCAGATGGAGCCACAGTTTCCATACATGACCCGACCTTGATCTTCTGTAGCATGCTCACTGAGTCGCTGAGAAATTATGCGTTGTTGAAATCTGAGTTTTCAGCCATTCTAGGGCCTTTGTCTCAGCCATAACAAAGCCTATGTGATGTATAAGGAAAATTCTAAACATCTATACCAATCCAGAAAGTCACCAGATATACAGATGTTGAGTCCAGTGTCTTATCCTCTTGTTGAGCCTCTCATTGATAAAGGCTTGGGCCTAAACACCCGACTGTTCCCGTGTGTGTTGTTTATCCTTCCCTCCTTGGGGAGCTCCCTGACCATAGTTTGTGCTTAGCAAATTCATTTATACAGCTCAATTACAGCTGTCCCTATTTTCCTTACAACTGGCAAACTTGGTAGGAACAGACTGGGGGGGAAGACAAGAGAGATAAATGCCTGGATGGCTTGTTCTCATGATTTAATGGGGATAAGGACACTGACCTAATCTGAGACACTGGTAATCATGTGAGACGGTGAAGGTTGACCCTCTAACATCAATCTTCACACCCCATCCTTCTTTCCAGTTTACACATTAGCATGATGCAAGACAGGAAGAGTGAAACAAGAACACTGATCTGATCTGTGTTTCTGGTGATTGTGGAGAAAAGAAGAAACAAGACAGCTTTAGCTTATCAGCATGGCACATCCTGATAATGATGACAGTGTTGATGCTTGGTAGTAGAGATGACCACAGGAAAATATTAATCAACAAACCAATGAGTCCATAACTTACCGTCCTTATTTCAAAATTTTCATTTCGATCTATCTGTCTCCTTATCTGTCTATCCTGAGTACATGTGAGGAGAAAAAAAATTTAGAAATATTAATCAGATAAAAGGTTGAACAGCACTTATAAAATTACCAATCAAATTATTTCAAAAACAACACTTGTGAATAAAAAAATATATAAATACTGCAGGATGGTCTTGTTTGTCATATTCACCATCGCCATGGGCTGCTACTTCCATGGATCCGTATAACACAATATAACATTATCCTCTGGAAAGATATAAAGGTGCCAAAAAGACTACGGCAAAACCATCAATGTCATTTACTGATGTGGTTTCAATGAAGCAATGAAAGTTATAATAATAAGTAATAATAATTACCATGAACAATGCTCATTAAAAACACATTTATTCTCAAGAAAAACAACAATTTATCACAATCAATCATCATCATCTGGAGCTGTGGTATCGTAGTAGCTAGACATTTGCCTGTCTGTCAAATATGCAAGGTGACCGATTTTTTCTTTTTCAAAATTGATTTTAGCTTCCAGGTTCAACCTAGTCTAAAAATGGGTACCTGGTAATGTCCTGGCAAGCACAGACAGCCGGCATGATGCTGACCCCATCACTATCACATGCTGACCCCATCACTATCACATGCTGACCCCATCACTATCACATGCTGACCCCATCACTATCACATGCTGACCTGTCTAGCATCACCTGATGCACTACTAGCATGAAAAAAAAAAGAAAAAGTATAATTCACTGAACCATCTTCAAATATTTCAGCCCTTGGACAGATCACATCGCTCCATTAACTATCTTCTTCCTTGTGCCTCTCTATAATTCACTGAACCATCTTTAATATTTCAGTCCTTGGACAGATCACACCGCTCCATTAACTATCTTCTTCCTTGTGCCTCTTTATAAATCTGCCTTCTATCTGCACATTCCAGTTTTGTGCATGACTGTGTTTTTTACATGATGCCATTGCTCTACCCTTTCATCTGTTTCCAATTATTTGACCTTGAGGATACTTCCAAATCACAAGAGTCTGCTTTCGGATTACTTGTTTTAAAAAAAAAGGTTTCTTCGCTCTGTTAGATCCTCCCAGAACTTTTTCATTTGACATTTTATAATCGAGCTGGATTGTCTTTTTTTTTTTTTTTTTAATAGGGTCACATTTTGAATCCCTCTCCCCATTTTTTTTTCACTGTCCATATTTTTCAGTCATTTGTGGTGAGATGTTAATATAGAGAATACTCTCCACAGATCACGTTGTAAATATATCTTTTATCCCCTGAACAAACACGTCATAAAAGTAGATTAATCTGGGGTGCTTCCTTCGAAATTGGAGTGCATCTGCCTGAGAAATGAGAAACCAAAAGTCTGCACTGTTGTGACTCCAGGATATCATACCGGCATACTTCTTCTTAGTGTTTAATTGCTGTAAACTCCCACAACAAATTTCTGGCTGTTCCTCCACTTTTAGACTTTGGTCCTGTTCCAGAACTTGAGTTTGGTGTGAACATCCATCTTACAGATCTAACTTATCTGTATACAGACTATTGGCTCCTTGCCTCTCTGGCAGACGCATTCCAAATCAAAGGAAACATCTCTAGTTAGTAATCTTGTAAAACATGTTTGTTAAACTGGGCAGGGGGTCTATTCCCTCCACCCCCTCCCCAATAGGGCCTCACAACCCACATGGGGAATACAATAATCCTTTATCAACTCATCGCACACCCATACCATACCTGGCAGAAGTTGCTAGGGCAAACCAAACCTGCATGATCAAATAACAACAGTTTTGCAAACATCATAAACCCCACCAACCTTACAGGAAATGATGATGCATATGGGAATCCAGAGAAGAAGGGAGAACACTATAACACAGCCCACAATGTTGTTGCGGAAAAATTGCACTGTAATAAATAACAAAATTAGGACAAAAAATGGGCCATATCTTATGCAGTGATAATATCATAAACATACAGAAGAAGGAATGAACAAAAAATGTAACTAAGAACCTCAGCAAGATTAGAGATGTTATGTTATCACAATCAATGTCTTTGCACACTGGGCATCGCCATGCGTGCTCAGTCCTCAGATGCAGCAGCCAATCCAAGGTACCTCTACTGAATGTTGCCATGAGGAGTTGGTGATAGCATCTCCTGTCTTTACCTCAAAGATGACATAGACATTCTTCACCAAGCCTAACACCTCGGTCAGCAAAGATACTCTGTCTCTTGCCTTGGCTGTACACTCTCTCAGGTTGCTATTTGTCCATCTTTTGATGATGTCCTTCCACTTGTATCGCTGTTTAATTCTTGCTCTCTTGCCTTAGACGTTTCCCTTCAGTATGGCTTTTAAAACAGTAAAGATACAAATGGATACAACATTTTAACCCTTTTCCAGGAGAAGCCGCTAATCCATCATCGCTGTTCAATACAAATCCTCGAGAAAGCTTCTAAACCATCGCTATTACATTGACCTGACCTCGACAAGCTTAGGTAATGATACTGGTTCCGTATGAATGTTGAATTAAGAATCGACATCACAGCATTCGGGACACTCCCATATGAGCTCCGCTCCCATCTTCAGCAGCAAGCGAAGAGATCCAATTCCTATGGCACCAGAAACTGTCTGACTTTATATTCCTGTTGCCTTTCCCTTGAGTGTTGAGCGTTGGCCGGATCCCATGGTAACTCCTCACAGCGTCATTCGTCTCAGACCGCAACGATCAATATGCATCTCTGCACTGTTCACTCATTCCCAAAGGGTCCTCATAACCACTAGCTTTAATCGGTTCATTGCCAAGTGGTGCAGAACAGGCTAGTCTATCTGCCTACTCATTTCAAAACACACCTAGAGAAAATATTCAAAGGATGCTAACTACCCAGGACCTCTGAAGTGATGCTTGCTACTGCATGGAGCATGCCTGTCTCCACCTTTCTCAACATGAGTCGTCAGTTACAATCACAGCATGTGTGTGCAGCTAATTCTCAAGCCAGCGGAAGGCAGCAGTGACTGCCTCCACTTCCATTCTCAAACTAGATGTTGTGATATCATATGCCAGACTTGTTGCACTAAGCGACGTCTATTAGCTTTTTCTATGAACCCTCAAATACTTTGTCTGCCCCTCAACACAGAGCCATCTGTATAGACAATTACATCATCTGAGTGGGAATTGTCATGAATCATTTGTATTGATTCTGTTTGCACTTAGACCAGCGGTTCTCAGCCTGTGGGTGGTGCCCCTTTTGTGAGTCGAACGACCCTTTCACAAGAGTCGCCTAACACCATCATGAAACACATATTCACTTCTTTTTCTTCTTCTTCTTCTCTTCCACCTTGTACCTCATCAAAGTGTCAGGGGGAGGGGGGGGGGGGGGGGGGGGGGAGAATGTAATGTTCGTTGATGAGCTCTGTCAAGAGCACTATTAAGACTGATGTTCATTCATGTAAGGCTGTTCTTAATGCCATTTCCATATTTCCCGAGGTCTTCCACTCGCTCCATACCCGTTGTAACATTTTAGTGTGGCTCGCTGTGGCAGATAGTACCAGGGCATTCTTGTTAGGTGTCCAAACCACTTCATTTGTTGCTCTTTGAAGTTATGAAGTAGCAATGAAAATAACTGTATGGTTGGGGGTCGCCACAACATGAGGAACTGTATCAAGGGGTCGCCACAACATGAGGAACTGTATCAAGGGGTCGCCACAACATGAGGAACTGTATCAAGGGGTCGCCACAACATGAGGAACTGTATCAAGGGGTCGCCACAACATGAGGAACTGTATCAAGGGGTCGCCACAACATGAGGAACTGTATCAAGGGGTCGCAGCATCACGAAGGTTCAGAATCCCTGACCTAGACACGTTTAGCAGGATCAGCTATAAATTTACTAAAATTAGCATCTAGGAAGTTATTGTGGAAAAATATTGCTTCTTTTTTCTTCTTATTATTAAATGTTGAATTAAGAATCCACATCACAGCACTCGGGACACTCCCATAAGTCCTCAGTCACCATCTTCAGCAGCAAGCGAAGAGTTTCAAATACGATGGTACCAGTAACCGTCCGATTGTATATCTGTCTCCTATGCCATCTTCTCCCTCCATTTCCTTGTCTTCTCCTCTTCTTACTCGCTCTGTTGCCACCTGAAGATGGTATCAAGCACAGAGCACGCACTCCGTAGCTCCGACAATGATTATTTTTATTTTTAAGTATAAAGTATAAAATCCTTTTTTTTTAGCCATTATGATATCATTATTGACCTTTAGTCTCAGAGGTCGCACAGCACTGGAGTGACAGGGTCAGGGTTCAAGTTACTATATCCATTCCAAGTTTCATAACTTTTCATAGAGTCACTGGAGTGACAAGGTCAGGGTACGAGTACCATATTCATTCTAAATGTCCTAACTTTTCACAGTCACTCCTTGATCCTCACTCCTGAGATGTTCTCCTTTGCTTTGAACATTTACACTGTTAGTTTGTGAGCAGTGCCTTTGATAGCAAAATTTAACTGTTTGGAAAAGTAGGTGCCTTGCACTCCTCAGGCGCAGAGCTGTCCACTTATCCAAGGTAAGTACTTGATCCCTTGAACTGTATTTCCTACAATCAATCAGGTGCCATTTTAACAGTGAAGGTTGGCTGCAGTAGATCTCCAACAACATGCTCTCTTGTCTTGGCTGTTCACTTTCTCAGGTTGCTTTTTGTCCATCTTCTGATGATGTCCTTCCACTTGTATCACTGTCTACTTCTTGCTCTCTCACCTTCGACTTTTCCCTTCAGTAAGGCTTTTAAAAGAGTGTTGTATTTTTTTATGTGACAGTAATATTCACTTTTTTTTTTCCTCTTTCTTTCTCAGATACTCTCTTTGCATTCCCGGTCTCTACAGAACATCTGTATTTAACATTTTTTTCTCTCCATGAACAACAACTTTTCTTTTGCTACATTCTTGCAAAATTTTACTCTCTACTACCAAAAGGTCATTTGCCTGGCTGATTTGGTAAGATGGGTGGTTGGTTGCATTGTTTGCTGACTGCTTTGTTGGGATATTAGTTTGTTAAATGGTTGATCCACTTCAAAAAGACTTGAATTCAAACTCAAGAATTGTACTGGCATTCAGGTTGTCACAGCTCTGAAAGGGGCTTGAATCTACAAAGTTACACTGGTGTAGATACATTCCTCTCAGCCTGGTACTCCACAGGGACTGTGTTGCAGAACCCTCCTTTCTCTTCAGAAGGATTACAAAATCAGGTGTATGGCTTCACATTTGTCAAGAGGCATGGCAGAAATCCGTGTTAGTCAGATTGGGTACCCAGTCTGTGGATAAATCACACCAAGTAGAGCTGCCTCAGGGTTTGAGTCATTGAAATCCTGATTCAGGTTTTGACATCACTGTGGTCTACATTTAGGAGATCTTATTTTTCTTCTTAGGGCTGACCAGCTGTAAACTCTGATAGAAAGTTCTGGTTGTTTGTCCACTTCTGGACTTTGGTCTTGTTCCAAAACTTGAGTGAATGCAGACTGTTGGTTTCTCACCTCTCAGGCAGATGCATTGTCACTTCAAAGGAACCATCAGGGGGTACAATCAGAGGTATCCTTTCCCTGCACTGAGACTATGTTTGCATTGCTCAGCTCTTCAGTACTTTAGAGGCATCATCATCATCCTGTAGCAGGTCCCTGTCAGAGCTTCCACCACAACTGGGAAGAAAATACCCAGTCCCTCGTCAAATCCCTCAACTTATGTATTTTCATGTCAAAAGAGTCTCCAAGGTCACCTCTTTCTAGAAGCATGCATTCCATTTCTTTCCTTTCTATCTCACTCTTGTGTTTAATCCTGTCACTCAGAGAAACCACAAACACAGCATTTCCGTTGGTGTAACTTTCCCATAAATGCTACTTACCCAGCACTTCTGCTATGGCTTGTCCCCGACAAGCCTAGTTAGTTGTCAAGCACCTGGGCAATGTTTAGGACTTTATTTTAAAGCCATTCTGATATAATTTTCTCAGAGCCTTAGTGTTAGAATTCTAAC